CTACTACAATTATTAGTTTCACCAATTTAAGGCAGCACGCAGCCGCAGTCTCCCGCAGAGCAAAAAGCAAAAGACAGAACCAAAAACGGCGGTTTGGTTGGCGCCAATGTGACCCCACCACCTGGCTGGGCAACAACTGCGCCCAAAGCCCAAACCACAAACAGCCAGTAACAGCCACCCCAACACCAAAACCAGAAACAGCCGCCAACAGACACCCCAGCGCCCAAACCACAAACAGCCACCAACAGCCACCCTAACACCGAAACCATAAACAGCCACTAAGAGACACTCCAGCGCCCAAAGCACAAACAGCCACCAGCAGCCACCCCAACGCCCAAAGCAGAAACAGCCACCAACAGCTACCTCAGCGCCCAAACCACAAACAGCCACCAACAGCCACCCGAAGGCCCAAATCAGACACAGCCACCAACAGCCACCCTGAGCGCCCAAACCACAAAGATCCACCAACAACCACCCCAACACCAAAACCAGAAATAGCCACCAACAGTCACTGGACTTTTGAGCAAGCGCTGCTTGGGGTCTTGTAGGCAAGTGCTGTTTGGGGTCTTGTGGACAAGCACTGTTAGGGGGACTTCTGAACGAACACTGCTTGGGGTATTGTGAACAAGCGCTGTTGGGGAATTCGTGGGCAAGCACTGTCTGGGAACCCGTGAGCGACCGATGTGGATAGACGTTGTGGACAAACAGTGGACCAGGAAACCAAGCCCAGTTCGAGGACAGGAGTGCGTGTTGGCTTGCAGGTCAGTCTAACTCCGTATGTATTTCATGGTTCGAGCCCGACTTGTATTTGGCCACTCGTGCAAGACGGCCTATTCATTCGAACGTTCGAACACCTTGAGATGTCAGATGGCCCCGGTTTTGACTCTGGCGGGGGAGGCGTTCTATTGCCCACCGAGGACTCGCAGAGATACGTTCCTGAGATGATTCCTGACGACTCGCAGAGATACAAACGGACAGATGGACAGCCTGAGACTATTCCTGACGACTCGCCGAGATACGAGTGGACAGATAGACAGCCTGTCACTATTCCTGAGGACTCGCAGAAGTACGAATGGACAGATAGACAGCGTGACACTCCCCCGCCGGAAGATCACACGCAAAGGTCTCGGTCTCGCACGCCACCGCCCAGGGATCCAGGGTATGGGTCGGCAGAGCAGAACTCACTTGGGTTTGAGTTCGACGAAGGAGGTGATCGTAAAGATGGTGGCGCTTCGGACCTAGTCAGCGAGCGCGAGGGCGAGGAGAAGAGCGAGCCAGATAGCTGGGCCGACTTGCGTGACCTCATCACGGAATCCGACTCCGACATCGACGAGTATGCAGCTTCTCAGAAGTACTCGAACATGGACCCTGTCAGCTTCCAGCGCGAGATCAACAAGATCAGGGGTGGGAACATCAAGGCGTACAAGAAGATGACGTGTTGGCTCCCACCGGGGCCGAGTACAGCAGAGGAGTTCGGGAAACACACAGAGCGTTGCGTGAAGAAAACGTGCGATGGACATGAAGGTGGCGTTCGTGGTCGTCGGCTTTGCAGTTTGTTGGAGTATGGCATTGCCCTGCACACCGACTTCAGCGGCGCCCAGGGCGCAGAGATGACGATGAAGATGATGGAGCACACGCTACGGAAGAAGGGCCTCAATGCACGCTGGTGCCTGCTCTTCAGGGCGTCCGAGCCGAACGCGAAGCTGAACAAGAACATCTGCAACGAGGATAACCCCCTGAGACCGCAGCACGTGTTCAAAAGGGTCGAGGATATTCACGACCCCTGCAAGAGCTTGCCGCAGATTTCGCCATGCTTCTCAGGGTTCCCGATGGACATGAAGATGGAGTTCAACCACCAGCACAAGAGCGAACTTCAAAAACGTTCCTGGGAGCTTTTCTGCAAGGGCAAGATGTCCTACAAGTGCGTGAGGCACGACGGCAGCTGCCCATGTCGATACGGTGAGGATGACCTCTTCGCCGACCCTCGCGAGTCGCCCTTAACCATGAACTGGGGTGGGCCTATGTGTCAAGCATGGTGCCCTGGAGGTGGCCAACACGGGATGGCCCACAAGTCCATCAGCTCATTCAACATGTGGATCGAGGAAGCCAAGCGGTTCGACATCGTGCTCATGGAGGAGTCCGACCAGTTCCCGATGGACCTCATGATCGCAGGCCTTTCGCAGACCCACAAGGTGATCTTTGGAATCTTCTCGCCAACTGATCTTGGTTGGCCTACTGCTCGCTCGCGTGTTCGGGCTGCTGCTCTCCGCTATGAACGCCTTATCTGGCTTGGGCCCGATGGGCCAAATGTGACCAATGCTTTCCTGAGTATCTACCGCGAGAAGGTCGTCACCACGGCTAGCGTCTTCTGCCAGCTGGACACCCCGGATGCGATCAAGCGCAACCTGAAGGAGCAGTCCAAGCAGTCCAGGGCTATGGAGGAGTTCGATGGCCATGCGTTCGAGGTGCTGTCGCCGAGCGCTGCCGACTTCCTTCTAGCATACCATGAACTTGCACAGACGCGCGAGGCATCGGACTGCAACCGTATGGTCGTTGACGTGAGCAGCAACCCCGATGGTCACAGCCGCATGTCCCTCTGGATCCCAACAGTCCGCTGCAGTTCGCAGATGATTAGCATGGACATCGGAGACGCGACCAAAGATCACATCTTCACGCCGAAGGAGATGGCCTTTTCGCAGGGCTGGCCAACGCTGTCGACGAGCGAGGAGCTACGTGAGTTGCTTCCGTTCGACATCTCCCAGATGTCCCAGTGCTTGGGGAAGTCTACTTTGGGCAACGGGATGCACCTGGTGGCCGAGGAGTCGTGGTTCTGCTTCGTCGCAAGCCACGCGATCAGGAGGGACGTGGTAGCCAAACTGTCCCCGCCCATCAACTTCGAATGGAAGAGCCCAGAGGATGACGACTGAGAGTTGCCAGGTGACAGGCCGGGCTTGCCAGGCAGCAGCGGCTCGAAGAAGCTAGCGGATTAGGCTTGCCAGACGTGCTGCGGGAAGTGCGTTCCATTGTTCTGAAAACCGAACGGGCTCCTGACTCTACAAAGTTCTGAGGCGTCCACGGCCGAGTGGATCGTCTGATGGGCCACGTCCTTTTTTTTTTTTTTTTTTTTTTTTTTTTGTGGATTTTTTTTTTTTTTTTTTTTTTTTTTTTTTTTTGTTTTTTTTTTATTTGTTTTTTTTTTGGGGTTTTTTTCTTTTTTTTTTTTTGGGAAGCTTTTTTTTTTCTTTGTTTTTTTTTTTGTTGTTGTTTTTTTTTTGTTTTTTTTATTTTTTTCCTTTTTTTTTTCTTTTTTTTTTTTTCTTTTTTTTTTTATTTGTTCTCCTTTTTTTTTTTCTTCTGTTGTTTTTTCTTTTTTTTCTTTTTTCTTTTTTTTGTTCTATTTTTTTTTTTTTTTTTGTTTTTTTTTTTTTTTGGGAAGCTTTTGTGTTGTTTGTTTTTTGTTTTTTTGTTTTTTTTTTTTTTTTTTTTTTTTATTTTTTTGTTTTTTTTTTTTTGTTTTTCTTTTTTTTTTGGTTTTGTTTTTTTGTTTTTTTTTTTTTTTTTCTTTATATTTTTTTGTTTTTTTTTTTTGTTATTTTTATCATTCTTCTTTTTTTTTAATAGAAATTTTTTTTTTTTACTTTTTTTTTTTATTTGGGGAGAGAGCCCCGCAATGCGATGGCTTGCCTAGATGCGAGAGGCCACCTGGACCCCCAAAGGCCATAGCCATCGTGGATCCCCAAAGGCTCGAGGTATGATGGCCCCCAAAGGCTTCTCTTGGCTTTCTTCTTGGGCAGCTCTAAGGCGGGGAACCCGGGCTTATGCGTGACCAGGCGGGACGTGCGCGATCATACATCCACATACACGTATATATAAAAGCTCTTGCTCCCGCCTGTGTCAACGGCAAACAAGTAAGGCATACGTCAGAAATCCTTGACGCTTCGCGTATCCCCACCAGCCCATCCAGAGAAGATGCCTAAGCGAGTTGCCTTGGTCAGGGAAGTGTAGCAGCGTGCAGTGTAGCAGTATGCAGAATAACAATGACGAGGGCCTTGAGAAGGGCTCAAGATGGCCCCGGAGGGCTCCAAGAGGTAGCCCCAAGAGGGTTCCAGGATATCCCCCAGAAATGCCCCCCTGAGGAGTCCACGAACCTCTTGGTGGGGTCCACGCGGAGTGCAGGGTATTGCAGGGTCCGCGCGGAGTGCAGGGCATTGCAGGGGCTGCGGCGAAGTCCAGTCGAGAGGGTAGGGAGAGGGGCTACTAATGAAGTTTAAAAAGAGCTAACCCCCTAAGCTACCTACGCCCAAAGGGCTTGTGGGACTCCAGACCTTACGCCGAGCTCAACATATAATATCAATCCGTTGCCAAGAATAACAATGGCCCCAAACAGCGCAATCTAACGTAACAGAGGGCCCCGCGCAGTGGACGTGGACCTCCAAACAGCGGGCGTGGAACCCATAACAGTGGGAGTGGAACCCAAACAGTGGACGTGAAATCCACGCTGTGATGAGTGGTGCCTGAAAGCACCGACGATAGTTTGGGATGCCAATTTGCCTCGAGGGTCAACTCCAATCGTTTGCGCATTGAGTCCGTAGCATCATCATTGGTCGAGCGATTCGATTTATTTTCCATAACGCTGCATGCTGAAGTTGCCACTTCTGGTGGTAATCATGGCAACGACGCCTGTTGTCGGCACTGGATCCAAAGGCGAGCATGCGCCTGAGGCGCCTGAGGCTGCGCCTGCCGCGGACGAGGACAAGGGGACCAGCAAGGTACCGGAGCGATCTGAAGGCGACGGCGGCCAATTCTCTTTCGGAGATTTCGAAGATGGCAGCCGTACAAAGATGAGCATACCGCCACTTCAAGAAAGAATGCTCAGGCGGAAGGCCGGAAGCGCAGACTCAGAGGTGGAACCAGAAAAAAAGGTTCAGCGAAAAGCCGCTGATGGGCGGGCTGCTCCCAGTCGTCGGACGGATAAGCCCTGCCCTGTTACTTCGTGCGAGGAGCAGGTCCATGGGAACAAGAAGCACTGCAAGGCGCACCATCGGATTTACGAATGCTTGAGGAATCACAGCCTAAAGGGCGTTGACGACCTTGACGAGAAAACCGAGACGGAGGAGTCCAAGAGTTTCAAGGCGATTTTCGGACACAGGGGGAAGAAGGGCTCCAAGAACTACGATGGGGATCCAGAGATCGCAAGCCAAGTGTTGGAAGATGTCCGAAAGAAGCATCCTGACATGGACGATGCTGGCGGCAGCGGTGCTAGAAGCACGAAAGCCCGTGGAACTGACATTTCGCTTTCTACGTACGTTAACCGCAGGGGGACAGAGAAGAGCAAGTCAGAGGTTTCAGCTCGACCGAAGTGGGACTTCGAGCTTTTCTCCTGCCAGATGGAGCTCCTGCGACGGTGGACCCCAACCAAGATCAAGCAGGAATGGGCGCAGCTCGAGGAAAACACTCCAGACGATCAAAAGGACAATTGTGGCCCTCCTGACAATCCACTTCGTATGCCAGTGCCTTCGTGGATGGTGGGGGAGGACAGGAGCGTTCAGCAGACGAAGAACTACCAGGCTCAGGAGATGGTGACGGCGAAGCCAAAGGGGAAGGCCATGACGAAGACCGCTCTGGACAATGCTGTGAAGGACTGTGCCAAGGGCTTCACCACGATTTCGGCCGCGAGTTCGGCAGGTGCCTTGTTATCGCCATCCGCTAACGCAGTCAACGCTACTGACGATGTGGCCAAATCCGCCGCAGACATTATGGTCAGTCGCGGAGCATCATCGGCGGCAGGGGGCTCGGCGCACCAGCAGGGCGCCCCCGGATCCGCGCCCGCCGCCAGCGGCGCAGGCGCCGCTGGTGCCAAGGAGTCATCGGGCGATCCAGGCTCCGCCTCGAAGAAGCAGAAGTTCGACGTTGGTGTCTCGAGGCTCCAGACAGCAGAGGCCAAGAACAGGATGCTGGCGACTGAATGCGACAAGCTCGCGAAGGCTCTGGCGCTCGCTTCGAAAACGCACAAGGAGGGCGGCGCCTCAGGCGAGTCGGAGAAGGGCCTGTTGATGGAGCGCTTCGTCATCGGGGCCATGGTCCTCGGCAAGGAGATGACAATCGAGATGGGGTCAATCGAGAGTGCCCCAGACGTGAACATCAATGGAAACTTCACGGATGCCTTGAAAGAGTTCAAAGAGGCCTCGAAACGCCAGCATGATCAAGCCGAAGAGCCAAATGACCCGCTTCCAAGCCACTTGAGCTCCGATGCGGTGACATATCACGACTACAAGTTGAAGGAGACCGTCGAGAAGGCCTTGCTACTACCCATCGATAAGAAGGAGGAGCTGTTCTGCATCTTCAGAGCGCGCTCGCTGGTTGAGTCTATTCGGGTCGCAACCACCCCGGACGCGATTGAGGAGGCGGAGTCAAAGGTGGACCAGTTCAAGATGCAGATCGTCCAGCTGATTGACTGCATCAAGGACGCCGCGAAGCTCGTGAAGAAGAGCGCCTCCACGGCTTCACAAGCAGCTGCTCAACGCGACAAGGAGGCGAAGGCCAAGAAGCTTGAGGAGCAGAGAATGGCGGCTTCGGCAGCAACCAGCGCCCTGAAAAAGCAGATCACATCGATGAGGACAAGGGGAAAACTGCCTGCCCAGCCCGCCGTCTCCAACCTTTTTGATAAATCCTTCTCACTTATACTTTTCCTTCCCCTCCTCCTGCTCCTCTCCTTTTTTCTCCCCCCCTACTCTGCCCTTCTCCGCGTTCTCATGGCGTCTTCTCAGCGGGGCGCAGTTTTCCCTCCAAGGATAAGCAAGGCGGGAACGTTTGCAGTCGACTGGGTATCGACCGGGGGCAAAGCTGTCAAATCTTTCGGTAATGTGTCAGCGTTCGACGAGGCGCTGAAAAAGGACTCGGCAGTAGTGGACGAGCCTTTCAAAGTCACCACTGGGGAAGAGTGGGCCAAGCAGTTAGAGAACTCCGTCATCAAGACCAGCCTGGAGAAATTCCCGGAGAAGTTTCCCGCCCAGGCCGAGAAGAGGGATGACCAAGCGACCGCCCCAATGTTAGCCGCCCACGGCACTTCCGTGATCGAGCCTCTCATGAACAGCATCCCCCCGAGAACGATGTACGCTGATGTCAGCAAACACCCTGTCGTGGCTTCCTCAACCGACAAGCTATGGCTATTCGGGTATCTGCCCACTTTCGTGAGTACGGACTTCGAGACGGGGCTCTTCGGCTCCGTTCGCTACTACGCCAAGGGAGGCAACGTCAAGCTCATCTTCATCAAGGGTGCCGATCTGCTGAAACATCTCGGTTACGTGAAAGAGGTCGACCTCAAAAGTCGAGCATCGGCGATGCTCGAGGCCCTGAAGCCAGAGGATGCCAAGACGCTCATCGACAAGGGCACGCAGATCTTCACCACGACGGCCACTCCTGGTGATCTTGTCGCGGTTCCTCCCGGGTACTTCGTATGTGCAGCAGCAAGTGGTTCGAGCGTGGTTGGCGTGAGAAAGTCGTTGCTGCTGCAGCGTGATTCTGGTAAGACTGATCTCGAGGCATTCGGAGAGCATGCCGATTTCAACAAGGACGACGTGTTGCAGGCATCGGTTAACATCTTAGCTGCAGGCAGCAATTCGTGATTGATGAAGTGTTGCCAGTGGTCGACCTCGCGACGACGAGGTGCCACATCTACATATTACAAGTACCGCCGTCCCCCGTTCGGCTGTGGAAAATGCAATAAACATCAAACCACCATCATCACCATAAACACCCAACAATAATAGTGCAATCACACTTTGAGGAACACCAGTGCTTGCTTGTGCAAGAACTGTTTGGGGTCCACCAGCCTGTGTTGTTCGGGCGTCTTGGGAGCTCCTTGGGCCGTCTTGGGGTCATCTTGAGCCGTCTTGGCGTCTTGGGAGCCCCTTGGGCCGTCTTGGGGCCATCTTGGGCCGTCTTGGCGTCTTGGGAGCCCCTTGGGCCGTCTTGGCGTCGAGAAGGCCTCGCGGCCACTACCGTCGACCCTGGGCGGTGGAAGGAGGGCGGATGGGGAATGAGGGGGAATGTGCGAGGAGGAGAAAGGGGGGAGGGTGAGGAGGACAAGGAGGAGGACGAGCAGGAAAAAGGAGGAGGGCGAAGAGGGGAGTGAGGAGAAGAGGAGGAGGGCGACGACGAGGAGAGAGGAAAAGGATGAAGATGAGGAGGACGAGGAGGACGAGGAAAGGGAGGCCGTCGTCCGTCGTCCGTCGTCGGCTCGCGGCCGGGCGCGGGGCGCGGCGGCGCGGCGCCCGCTCCGCTCGCCCTCCCCTTCAGTCCTCCGTCCTCCCCCTCATCGCCCTCCTGCTCTTCCACCTTCTCCTAATCCTCCAAAACTTCTCATCTTCTCACTCCTCCTATTCTTAATCCCTCGCTATCCTTCACTGCGTCTCTTATTCTTCCCTGCCTTCCTCCTGCTGCTCCCCAGTGCTCCCCCACGCTCGCCCTCGACAAAACACGGCGATGAGGAGAAGGATGAAAAGGAAACCGTCGAGGAGGAGCGGATAGTGGGTCTACGTTCGCGAAAACTACGATGCGCTCCAACTTGCCTGGGGGGGAGGGGGCGGGGTTCGCGAAAGGGAAAAGGCGGGATTCACCAAAGGAGAGCACGACGCGAAGAGGTTCTATCACGAGCAGGACAAGGACACGGATTACGACGACAGGAACAATGCGGCACGCGTCGTCTCCAGGGCGACATCCGGCGATGGGCGCAGCCGTGCTCTGCCCGGATGCCCTCCCGCCGAGGAGAGGCGGAGGAGGAGGAGGAGGATCATCGTGGCAGATGCGATCTTCGACGAGCTGGGTCAGGCGCCACATTGGACGATCCGCGACCTGGAGGGGATTCCAGCGTGGGATGGATCTCCAGGGCGGTGGCGACGTTATAAGAAGTACGTGGCGCTGTGGATCGAAGGAATCAACCTGGGCGCGCGCTGGTCGCGGGCAGCTCGCGTGGCGAGGTGCCTGACAGGCCCGGCGAAGACACTGGGCGAGTCCATTCCGATGGTGGGGCTGCGCGCGAAACCGTGGACGCGGGCGCCCGACGAGAAGCTGGGCGCGGACGTCGCCGCTGGGGCGGCCCAGGAGGACGGCGAGACTTATGAGGGGGAGCGCGGCCGCTGGGAGGAGCCCGACATGATGGCGGGCATCAATCGCATGATGGAGTTGCTCGCAACGGCGGGCGTGGACGAAACGACCAGAAGAAACGAGGTGATTAACTACTTCTATAAGTAGTTGCAACGCCGCGCCGGCGAGGACCCGAGCGCGTGGGTGATCAGGTTCGGAGAGGCTCGGAGCCAGCTGGGCGAAGAGGACGTAGCTCTGCCGCCGAGGGCGGCGGGCTGGTGGCTCATTGAGAAGACGGGCTTGGCATGCGCGCAGAAGAGCACGCTGGTGACCTCGACTAGCGGCAGCGTGGAGATCCGCGAGGCGGTGCCAGCCATGGCGCGCGCGCTCCCCAACCTGCGCGCAACGGAGTGGCGCGCCAACGCGTTCGACCGCAGCCGGCGGTTGATCACCTTCAACCGACCTGGGTCGCAGCTGTTGAAGAGAAAGGCGATGCGGAAGTTCAGGGGGGCCAATGTGACGGAGGACCTGGGCGGGCTTAGCCAGCTCGACGAAGGGGGGCTCGGGGTTCCGAACGCGGAGCTCTGCAGTTTCGACGGCGACGCGGCATCGAGGGGGTCCTCGCCGCAGAGCTGGAGGCGTTCTCGACGGTGCTTCAGGGGGCCGAGAACGACCCCGAGCTGGCGCCGGAGCTCGGGAATCTGGAGAGCGGCGTGGGATCGACAATGGAGGGCCTTATCGCCGCGCGCGAGAGCAAGAAGCGAGAGGGGGAGCTGCGGAGTGGCCGCAGGTTTGGCAGGGGCTCTGGCAGGGGTCAGGTTCGAGCTCCAGTAGCAGTAAGAAGTTCATGCCCACCCTCGGCAAGAACAAGACCGGGCCCGATAAAAAATGACACCGCCTGCCGCGCACGCGGCGAAAAAGGCCATTGGACAGGCGACGCCCGCTGCCCGAAGCAGGAGAAATGGGGGCTGAGCAGGCCAGGAAGAAGAAGCTGCAGCAAAGGGCGAGGCCGCGGGGCGCGACGGCGGTCGCCCTGTTCGACGCACAGGAGGCGCGCGACGCGCTGAGGGCGAGTTCGCGGGAGGTGTTCGAGCGGGGCGCGGCGGCGGTCGACCTGCTCGGCGCGCAGGGGGCCCGCGACGCGCAGAGAGCGAGTTCGCGGGAGGTGTTCGAGAAGCTGCTGACCGAGAGCGACCTCGGGCACTTGAGCGTGGTGCCGCGGTGCAAGGACTGCACGTGCGCGGGCGATCATCGGGGCGCGCGCTGCGCCGCGCGCGGGCGCGACTACCTGGAGATGGCAGAGGGCGCGGGCCAGGAGGTTGAGGCAGGCTGCGCGCAGGCGTTTGAAGCATTCGTCGCCGCGAGATCGCTCGGCGGCGGCGGCGGTGGCGCCCCCCTCGACGAGCGAAGGATGCGAAGTTCAGGGGGTCTTACTGTCGTCAGCATCCATCGGTGGTCAAGGCGACGCGACGATGGCGCCCTGGGCCGGCCAGCGACGGCGCTGTCTCTGGCGACGCCGACGCCAACAGGATCGAGGCACGCGGCGGGCAGTTGCGGATTGACAGGCAGATCCAGCAGGAGCCCCAGCTCGCCGCATTCCGGCTCGGGGGCGGTCAGAAGCAGGTCTCCAGGGAGCGAAGGGCGGCGCCGGCGTCGGTCTTCGGGGCCGACGCCTACGTGACCTTCTCGGTCATCGAGGACTCCGTACTGCAGCTGCTGATCGGCAAGGACGCGCTCAGAGGCATTGGCGCCAACATCCATTGCGCGGAGGACTCGGTCAAATCGGACAAGCTCGGCATCGCGCCGAAACGTCTGAACTAGACGGGCGGCGGGCGCTACGCTCTGCCGATCTCCTCGCGAGGCGATCGGGAGCCCCCGTGAGAAACCCCGGCGACCGACGCAGCGTTCAGGGTGAAGTCTTAGGTGAAGGAGGCGCTGATGACGGCGCGATCTGAGATGGCCGCTCGAGAAGCAGATCGGCGCGCTGCTGAGGGGTGCTGCGCCAGGCGATGACCGCGACGACGGCGACTGGGATCTGCCCGACGGCGAGATCGACGTCTCTGGCACGGAGATGCGGGGGCGCCAGGACTGGACTGCAGCGCCAGGGCGCCCCGGACTTCGAACCGCGACGAGCCGCGTTGGGGGCCGGCGAAGGCCCGCGAAACGATCTGCATGGGCACCGGTGACATTATCGAAGGGCTGCGGTGGATCTACGGAATGCCGAACGAAGAGATGTTCGAGCAGCTCGACCCGCCGGGGAACGCGATGGCCTGGCTCCGCTGGGAGGCCGAGCCCGAGAAGCCGAGGCCCACCGCGCCAGATGGCCGACCCCTGTCTGCGACAGGGAGGGGCCCGCTCACGCGTGTTCCCAGGGGCGCGCTGGAGGACATGGCAGAGGTGATGAAGGTCCCGCGAGCGAAGCACATGAGCATCAAGCCGCTGATAGGTCGCCCGAGGGAGGCAGGATCGAGGCAAAGGCGAAGGGCGCCCCAGGAGGCAGGCGAGGCACTTGTGAGCGCGGGCGTTCTGCCAGGAGCCTCCGGCTCCGCCGGGCCAGCAGGCAGCCCGGCCACGGGGGCGCCAGTCTCGGTGGCATCGAGCGCATCAGGAAGGAGGCGCATGCGAGCGCTGCCGCCCCTTGGTCTCGAGAACGGGAGCTAGCTGGTCGGCTGCGCTCGCAACCCTGAGGCGCCGACGGGCGGCGACCCGAAGCTGATGGCGATGCTCGCGCCCAAGAGCGCGGCCTGCGCGTGCGACGAGGTGCTGTTCGCGCGAGCTCGGATGGGCTCGAGTTGCGCGGCAGCCAGCAGCAATGCGCCACGACCTCCACCTATCGATCATTGAGCGCGACCTGCGGCTCGGGGACCTTCGGCGCTGTCGAGGCGGCTGTTCGGCGCCGCTATGATCGGCGCGGCGACGCCGCTGGAGACCGCGAGGGAGGTGAACTTTACTAGTCGCGTCGACCTGACCCCGAAGGTGGAGAAGATGAAGAGCGGCGCCAAGACTCTGGCGAAGGACCAGCTGCACTCCCTGCGGCGCGACCTGGAGGCGGTCAACATCGAGCCCGAGGCCTACCTTGCGGAGTTCGGGCCAGGCTTCGACTCGCGGGTGGCCGAGTGCGAGGCGGTAGTCAGCGAGTAGTGCGAGAACCAGCCGTGGATCACGGAGGTGTCCACTACGGAGGAGGCGGCGCGCAAGGAGGCGGCTCGGCAGGGGCACCTGACCATGAGGAGCTACTCGCTGGAATTTGGCGACGACCTCAGGTCGCCCAAGCAGCGCCGAGTGGTGCTGCAAGACATTAAGACGACGAATCAGCCATAGCTAGTGCTGATGGCTTCCCCCTGCGGCCCTGGATTAACCTGGCCCATTTTTAGCAGGATCAAGTGAAGGTTCGAGAGCGGCAAGTTCTGCGTCGACCCTTTCTCCGTGTCGCGAAGGAGGCGTCGAAGGCCGCGAAGGGTTATGGAGGCGCCTGGATATCGAGAACCCGAGGGTCTCGGGC